CTAGGGACTAGTAATAAGCTGGTTGGGGGGTGTGATTAGTATTTAAAAGTGCATTCTCATTAAGGATTTATGTCATCATATTGCACCTAAAGTATCATTAAATTCCCTAACAAAAGCATGTTTTATATTAGCAAGTCTAAAAATATAATATACCTTTAATTCATGGTAAATGTTCATCCTAAATGCAGGTCTATCACATAAATAAAAGGATTGATTGATGAGTTTAAGGATTGAAATTGAAAGGATTAAAAGAAGGCCAAACTTAGCAAAGTGTTGCTGGTACATTCCAAACTCAAACACCGTTCAGTAATTTGATCATATCTGGAGCTGTAGATATCAGATTTAGGTCCATTTTATATCGATGGAAAGGTAAGACATAGACCTACAACTTTCATATGAAGTCAAAGACTCAGTTCTGCCGTTTTCAAACCCAAATCTTAGCAACAACGAAGACGTCGGAAGCTGTCCTGCAGCTCAAACACTATTCGGTTTTTGGCTCATATCTTGAGTTCTAGAAGTCCAAATGAGCTCTGGTTTTTTTTTTTATGGAAAGATGAGACAATTGCCCACAGCTTCCACAATTCAGTTGGCTATAATTTTGATGTGAGCAATGACGTTTTGGCCAGCCAACAATATCAAAAATCAGCCCACAATATCAAAAAACCAGCAGCCATTAATGTCAAAAACCAGCCACCAAATCAATGGATGCCCACCAATTCTTCAATCAATCAATAGTTCTGAAACTTAGCCTATAAAATTAGGCATTGTCCATGTATTTAGTCATATTAATTTTCAGATCAAAGTTATCTTCTTGCTTTCTCTCTACATCTTTGTAATGTTCAAGTTTTCTTTCATGCTATAGTAATCTCTTGTTTATGCTCTTTCATTTCCTTTCCTATACTTAGTTAGCTTATATTATGTTTATGTTCTTATATTGCTTATTTATGTTTTTCTCCTTTTTAATGTTTAGCTAAGTTAATTATGTCAAGGTGAAAAGGTTTCTCTAATGGTGTTAGAATAGGTATAATATAAACTCAACATGAGCTTTAAATGTTTATATCCAAGAAAGATTGTTATTAACATGTTTTATCTTTTTATCTTACTAATTCTTAATGCCTTGCTTATTAAATGTTTAATTTAGATTTGTGTTGTATAATATTTGGTACATCAAATGCTTGATCTTTCATAGTTTTCGGCCGAAATTGTTATTATGATAGAAACTTGATTTGTTGTTAACATAAACTAGCAACATGAATGCTTGATGATATTTATAAGTATGGTATTGCTTATATAAGATAATTAATATGATCATGTTAGTAATTTATAATGAGCTAATAATGAGAAATCATCCGATTAGAACTTCCTTTGTGTGTGGTTTCTAGTTGAGTAATAAAAAGAGTTTATATTATATTTATTTGAAATATCATTAGTGAATCCTATAACCTTGACATATGTTTTATTATTGTTTAATCCTTACATCAATATCACATCCCAAAACTTTCTTCAACTCCTTTTCTGTTATTATTCTCTTCAAATCTTTTTCTTTATTTGTAATTTATATAATTCACCTCCCTGTGGTTCGACCCCGGTCTTGCCGGGTTATTTTACTTTGACACTCCTGCACTTGGGATAAGACATCAACTCTTTGATCGTGTCAATGAGATCAAAGCTTTGCACTCTAATTACATTTGATCTTTAGTTCCCTTTCATCCTTTGATGAACATTGTTAGCAGTAGATGGGTGCATCAGATCAAATGTCGTGTTGATGATAACATTAAGCGTTATAAAGCATACCTTGTTGTTAGAAGCTTTATCCAACAGGAAAGCATTGATTATTCTGAAATCTTCTGACAGTTATTAAGCAGGCCACCGTTTAATTAGTTTTCTCCATTATAGTTTCGCGCAATTGGAAGATTTATCAACTTGATATTCATAATGCCTTCCTTAATGGCGTTCTTACTAAAGAGGTCTACATAAAACAACCTCCAGGTTTTGTTGATTTTACTCTTACAACTCATGTGGAAAGATTGCACAAATCATTTTATGGTTTAAAAAAGGCACCAATGGCATGATACAATCATCTTAGTGATTTTTTGTTCTTCATTAGTTTCCAGGCTTCCAAAGTTGACACCTTCCTATATATATTTTCTGATGAAATTAATATCTTTTATCTTCTAGTGTATATTGATGATATCTTGCTTATGGGTAGCAACTCTGCTATGCTTAATCGCCTAATACAGTTACTAAGCTTTAAATTCAAGCTTTGTAAATTAGGCGCAGTTCATTGCTTTCTAGGTATTAAAGTTCAATCTATAGGTACGGGTTTGATGTTGTGCCAACATAAACATATTTTTGACATCCTCACTTGAGTTGGTATGACTTCCTGCAAACCTGTTGATACTCCAGTCTCTCCTTCAAAGGTCACTATATTGCTGGTTAATTCCTTCTTTAATCTTACATGGTTTCATTAAATTATGAGTGCTCTTTAGTATCATACCTTCTCTCGCTCAAATATATGCTTTGCTGTTAATAGAATCTGTTAGTTTATGCATGCTCCTACAAATTCTCATTGGGCTGCTATTAAGCACATTATGCGCTACCTTAAAGGTACAAGATCTTATAGTTTTCATATCACTCTAGGCACCTCCTTTGTTCTACATGGTTTTACATATACAAATTGGGCTGGTAGTATTGATGATCACAAGTCTACGAGTGTCCACCTTGTCTTCTTTGGTTAGATGCTGATTTCATGGAAATCTGGTAAGCAACGCACAATTGCTCGCTCCTCTACTAAAACTGAGTATAAAGCTATAGGATATGATACTGCTGAGGTCATTTGGCTTTAATATTTGTTAATAGATCTGCAGGTTCATCTCTACTCCTACCATTTGGTGTGATAACCTTGGCACAACTTATCTCTTAGCGAATCCTAGTTTCCATGCCATACTAAGCATGTTAAGGTAGATTATCACTTTGTCTGTGACTATGTTGTGAAGAAAGACATTCAAATTCATTTTATCTCCTCTCGAGATTAACTTGCAGATGTCTTCACCGAACCGCATTTTGCTATATTCTTTATTGCTTTTCGGTTCAAGCTTTAGGTTAGCTCGAGAGGGCGTATTATAGAGTGTATAACATGTATATATCTGAATAGGAAATTATACTAGGATTATTCCAATGTTATAATCCCTACAGTTACTGTCGTGTTCTGCCATATATATATAAATAGAAAGGTTGGTTAAGGCACAACATAAGACATTTTATTATTCTCAACCATGTACAACAATATTCTCCTAAGAGATAAGGTGTTGTTCACTTTTATCCTACACTGTTTATTATATACAAGATCACCAAGTAATTTATGTCGGTATTTTCCTGAGAGCTAAGGTACTATTTACTTTTCACTTTATTATTTATTATTATTCAGTGCATACAAGATCATCAACAGATTAAAAAATGGTTGATGATAGTTGGCGGGTTTCTAACAATTTCAAATTAAATTGAAAATTTAAAATGGATGTTATAGATGAAAACACTAACAGAAAAATTAAAATATTACTTTTATATTTTCTTATGGTAAAGACATCGTTAATGCTTGGCGTGCTTATGAAGATATTTGATTAAATTGAATTTTTCAATTAAACTTACAAAAGGATACAATAATAAAAAAAAATTAAAAAAATTAATATTTAATTGGTTATTAAAAACATCATTGTTAAAAAACATCCATATTAAAAACACGTTTCTCTTCTTTATCTCTTCTTGTTCAACTTCTCTCCTCCTACCAAATCTTCATCTTTCTTTTTTTTTCTCTCTCTTCTTTTTCTTCTCCTCCACACGCACGCAGGTATTGTCTTCTCTTATCTTTTCCCTCTCTTTTTTGTGTTTTTTTTCCCATCATTTATATTTTTCTGCTCTTAATAATTGTATGAATGTTGTTGGAGTTTTTAAAATTTTGAAAATTTTCTTTTCTTTATTGATTGTATGAATGTTGTTGGAATTTTTTTTTCATTTTTTTATTATTTAATTATTGTATAAATGGAAATGAAATCATAAATAAGTGATATATACGCTCCATTTTTTTCACCCCACAGTTGCAGTGAAGACTTGCCTTCTTCTTCTCCAACCTTCTTCTCCTCCAATGTCTCTGTATAGAAAAAAACATTTTGTCCATCAATGTAAAATTTTTGATAGTGAGATAGTGCTCTCATCAACGCACCAAAGTTGAAAACTATTGGCATTTATTATTAACATGTTTTGTTCAAGAAAAAATGTGGAAGAAAAAAAGAGGATATGTTTCAAGGCACAACCGGTCTATTATTAGTAAAGATAATTCAAAATAGCAGATCCTCGATAACCATAAAAGTTAAATGTTCTTGAACTCTTAATTACATAGACTTAATAAAGCACGCCATTGAAGGAAGTGATGATCTGTGCATGTGGAACTGAAATTCAATCTGTGCAGCAGTAGAAGACTGTTCAGTATATCAACCACGCAGATGGCCTAACATTCTGCTAGCAGTGATGCAAGGATGGTGTGCTTTCATACACCAGAACAGGCTACAAGGTTTTAAAATATAAGTCAGACATTCGAACACGGTTTTTAAGCACAGATCTATTTATATTCAATGATGGAAAGTGTTTATGATATTGTGGGAAAATAAATTTAATTCCAAGTGTAACAGAAATAAGAAATATTGACTGAATTACAACCCAGTTTGTTGTGCAAGCTTGGCCCATTGTTAGCATACATGCAGAGCAGACAGATATCTGTACCGTACGTTAGCGGATAAACGTATGATTAAGGAGACAATCGTTAGCATAAATCACCGCAGGACAGCTACCAGTACATGGAAAATTAATACGTGTGCTCAAAAATGGAGTTCAAATATGAACAGAATGATAAAGAGTGGGAAATGCATGCTATTAGTTCCATTGCCGAAGTCAAACATTATAAGATACTTCAAAGTCAAAAAAGAAAAGGTGGGGATAAAGCTTGTATTGTATTGCATATAGACAGAAACAGACAGCCTCCACAGTACCACCACCCCACCACCGACGCCCTCCACTAAAAGAGAAACCCAAAGCACACGTTCCTTTCTGTAATATTCAAGATCACCAAGTGAGAGGTACTGGGAATTTAACAAACATTTCAAAAACCGTGTCTCGTCACCTTTACAATGAGTGCCATACTTTTAAAAAACCTTGCCTTGTTACCTTTCAAATGCCTATATATAGGGTTACCACTTCAAGCATTTCCAGTCAACAAAACATACTGGCTTCTCATATAGCGAGTGACACGCATAAACATACAGATACATTGAGCCGCGAGAGTATAATCTGGAAATGGCAAGTCCAAGAGTGTTAGGGACTGCTTTCCTGGTCTTGCTTATTGTAGACCTCACCCTTGCTGCTAGGACACTGCAGGCAATCAGTGGAGGTGGAGGTGGGGGGCAGGGAGGAGGAGGTGGTGGTGGTGGTGGTTCAGGACTTGGGTCAGGTTACGGTTCTGGGTATGGATCCGGGAGTGGTGAAGGATATGGTGCTGGTGGTCGTGGAGGAGGAGGTGGTGGAGGCAGTGGCGGAGGTGGAGGTGGTGGCAGTGGTGGAGGCAATGGGTCAGGTTCTGGCTATGGGTCTGGTAGCGGCTCAGGCTATGGTTCTGGTAGTGGGATAGGTGGTGGTGAAGGTGGTGGTGGTGGCGGCGGCAGCGGAGGAGGTGGCGGTGGCGGTCAAGGCTCTGGATCTGGAAGTGGGTCGGGCTATGGAAGCGGAAGTGGAAGCGGTAGCGGAAGTGGTGGTGGAAAGGGTGGGAAAGGAAGTGGAGGAGGAGGAGGTGGAGGTGGTGGTGGTGGTGGGGGTGGAGGAGGAGGATCCGGCTCTGGCTCAGGTTATGGTAGCGGGTCTGGCTACGGGGAGGGATATGGAGGAGGGAAAAGCTAAGTCTCGTTTTCTTTTCTTCGACCAGCACTGACCCATTGGTCAAAATAAAGGATGCACACACAGTGGTTACCATTTCTTTTGTATTCTGAAATAAAATTATGGGAGCTCACACATGCATGCATGTAGCATGTTGCCATGACAACTATGCATGTATTTCTATATATAAATCTCTTAATAAAATCACTTTTTAGAGTACAATTTACTCTAAAAGTATATTTTTCAGATAATCTCTCCGCCAACCTTAGTAAAAAGTGAACATATCAGTTCCATGTAAATAGGATTTCATCACAAAAAAGAACTTCTGAAATTGAAAAATTCTCCCACAACCCAAGACTTGCGGTGTTGCCTTTGCATGCAGTAGAAGAACCATGTCACAGGTGAAAATAACTTACGGCTGCGAAAAATAATACGTCTGTAAAACCACTTAACCCTCTCTACCAAAATGTCACGCAGAGTTTTTGATCCCTCACCAATGGCGGCCAAAAGGCCTTTAGAAGCCGCAAAGTGAATTTTATATCCAAAGGACCACCAGTAGGTCCGCTCAACAAATATTCTGAAAAGATATAATTTCAAGAAAACTATATATTCATATTAATTTACTATTAAAATTATGGGAGAAAAGGAGATAGAGAGAGGATATGTTTCAAGGCACAACTACCCTAGTAAGTAGTAAAGATAATTCAGAATAACAGATACCCAATAACCAAAAAAGTTAAATGCACTTATTGCGCTCTTACGTAGACTTGTTAAAGTATTGCATAAAATTAAGGAAGTGATAATATGTGCATGCTTATCTTCATTATCTCGGAAGCTCTCATGGCACCTTCATTAACAATTCTTGATATTGATAAGGGTTACTAGAGTTAGGAGTGAAGACAGAATGCTAAAAGACCCAAAATCTGAGGCTGATGCTAACAACATTTTGAGGGCTATAATTCCTGTTTGTAACCCAGCTAGAGGAGGTAAAGCTCAAAACGAAAATGCTTTTCCTTCTCTTGTTATTCGTGTCTGCTCGTCACTTTGTTTTCCTAACTTTGATTGTTTTGTGTGTTCTAGTCTTTTGATTGTAGGCCAAAGATGTGATTCTTCAACATGTGGAGTAGTTTCATGTTTAAAGAAAAAATATTATTAGAACTCATTTTGACAACTTGTTCTTTGATTTGTTTTCTTATTATAAGTATCACATTGTTCTTCAAAAAAAAAAAAATCAACTAATAACCTTTTCTCATTATTTGTTCTACACTCAAAAGCTTTTCAGATGGTATCATGGGTAGAAATCTAAGTTTATTTGGACCTCTAATCAAACCTGTAAAATCGAGCTGAAATTCTATTTGCAGCATGATTCTCTGCTTTCACACTACAGATTCAAACGGACATATCTTGAGCTTTAGATATCAAAATCATGCGATTTGAAAGCCCTAAATCATCTACACATTCACGAATATAACTTTTATAGATGATGTCATATTAGATAAAATCATTTTGAAAGAAAAAATCTAGGCATAAGCTGAAGGACAAGATTGGTCTCCTGGTCTAATGAGGAAATTAATGGCAACGAACATTCCACTATAGCTATGAGTCTGACATAGAAATGATGAACCTTAAAATGTAAAAAATGTGCAAATCAAGAATGAATGATAGAATATAGCTAAAATGACCGGATATTGCAAGAAACTAAGTTAGAAACAAAAATCTAAGTTGTAGTAGAGTATAAATTATAAAAAAGCTGTCATAACAACATAATCAGTTTTCAACATAAATTTTGAGGGATTTAACCAACTTTAATAAACAGATAAAGAAAAAGAATTAAGTAATCTTAAAGACTCCTAATTAGGATAAGAATCCGAACAAAAGATAGCAGCTAAGGGAGGGAAAAAAAAGAAGCAAATCACAACACAAACAACTCTCTTCTTCTTCTCTGCTATGTTCTTTTCTCTTTATTTTTTTGTTAATTTTCTAGCATCTATGAACTAAACTTTGGCTTTCGGTTTAAGGGAAATGGACACCATCTCCATTATTAAGTTGTGAAAAATAAAGTTATCATTGTAATTCTTTCATATTCAAGTACTTATTTATTCTTATTTCAAAATTAAGCTATTGATTTCTATTCATGCTTATTGAATTGTTTTGAGATGGTGTATATGTGTTTTCTAATTTCTTTCAATCTATAATTGTTGTTAGGGACTAGAATAAGAAGCAAAGGAATTAACTTAATTGTTGTAACTGTTGTAACTGTGACTTCAATTTCTTAGGATGGAATAAGCTAAGTTAAATTGCTCAAGATTTTAAACAGTTGCTTAAAATAAATTTTACAAACTTTGCTTCTAAGGTCACTGCTGAGTGAATTAAATTTGCTTTTCAATATTGAATTCACTTGCACTACCAGAAAGTCAATGAAAACCAATGAAATTACCGACTAAATTTTTTCATCGATAAACACTACAGATGGACATAATTTCATCTCTAATTTTGTTGTATATACCGACAGACAATTTCCATCGGCAATACAATGGGTATATACCTAGGAACATATTTTGTTAGTATATACTGACCGTAGTGTCGATGAATTATATAGATTTTTGAAAAGTTATAATGGTGTGATAACGTGGATTTTTTTCAGATGGTTTTACCAACAGAATGACCAAGGGATTCAAACCAGGATCTCCATACAGTGACATGACACAATCACCGGCAGACTTACCGACGAGTACATCGATGGAATGTTTACGTAGGTAATTTCATCTGTAAAAGCTAATATATACCCACACTACTGACTCTCTCTTCCTTTATTTTTCCTTCTTCTGCCCCTTCTTCATCCCCATCCCAACTCTTCCCTCCCAAACTACACCTAACAACCCATCCCAACTCTCTCTCTTTTCTCAACACAAGCACTCAAGTTTCTTATACTTTTGTACGTAGTCACAACATTCGTTCTTCAAGCAATTTATTGTAGATTTTATCATTTTTTTATAAGTAAATCTATCCTTTTTAGTTTTAACATTAAAAGGTCAATTTTATTGTTTTTTTATTTTTTTTAGTATATGTATTTTGTTAACATATGTACTTGTTAACTATTATTTGTCAAAGAAACTTCTAATATGAATGTATAATTTTGTAGTTGTTATAGTTTGTTTTAGATTTTATCAAAGTCTATTTGTTTGTAGATTGTTGAAACTTTATTTGAATTACACCGAATTAGATGTGTTGTCATGAAATAAATAATAGCTTGTTTAACAGGTTCATTTTAATTTTTATAAATTCTATTATGGATTTGTGATTTTCATAAATGTAAATATGTATGGATTTGTGATTCAAAAGCCCTAAATCATCTACACATTCACGAATACATTTTATGGATGATGTCATGTTAGATAAAATTGTTTTGAAGGAAAAAATTTGGGCACAAGCTGAAGGACAAGATTAGTCTCTTAGTCTGATGAGGAAACTAATAGCAATGAGCATTCCACTATAGCTGAGGGTCTGACATAGAAATGATAAACCTTAAAATGTAAGAAAGGTGCAAATCAAGGCTCTAACATTCTATGAATGATAGAATATAGCTGGAATGACCGGATATTGCAAAAAATCAAGGGCTTGTTTTTTTTCTGAAAAGTAATTTCATTTTGAAAAGTGAATTATTTTTTAATATTTAGTAGTGTAATAAAAAATAAGTTGAAAAATACTTTCTAGTGTTTGGCTATGTCATGGAAAATGAATTATTAATATTTTATTTTTTCAAGTTTATTAAAATAATAAGAAACAAATCTTACAAATTAAAAAGTCAAATGAGAATGAAATTGAAAAAAATATAATTTCATAAATTATCTAAAATAAAATAAATAATAATCAAAATAATAGAAATCATATCTAACAATTAAAAAAATTAAAAGATTAAGAAATTAAAACAATAATAACTATCGTTTCATAAATTATTTTTAATAAAATAAGTAATTATAAAAAAAATAAGGATCAAATTTAATAGATAAAACATTTCAATTAAAAAGTGATAAGAGAAAAGAAAATAACAATTTAAAAATGAGGACCAAAGTTATTATAACAATTAAATTCTAAGGGATGAAATTGAAAAACAATATTCAAAATAAAATATATATAACAACAAAATATTTGAGGATCAAATTTGATATAATCAACAAATAATATGAAATTTGATTAGTACTTAAAAGTGCATTTTTATCAAGGTTTTATATCATCATTTTGCACTTGAAGTATCAATAACTCCTTAACTAAAGCATGTTTTATAATAATATATCTAATAATATAAGATACCTTTAATTTGTGTTAAATGTTCATTTTAAATGCAGGTCTATCACATAAATGAAAGGATTGATTGATGAATTTAAGAACTGAAATTGAAAGGATAAAAAGATGGCCCAACTTAGAAAAGAGATGTCGATGCAATCCAAACCAGAACACTGTTCGGTAATTGGGTCATATCTAGAGCTATAGATCTCAGATTTAGGTCTACTTTATATGGATGGAAAGGTAAGACATAGGCCTACAAGTTTCATAGGAGCCCAAGATCTAAAAAGGCCATTTTCAAGTCCAAATTGTAGCAACAACAAAGAAGCCCGAATCTATCCTCCAGCCCGAGCACTGTTCAGTATTTTGGCCAAATCTGGAGTTATAAAAGTCAAAATGAGCTGAATGTTTTACACAACAAAAGCTGAGACAATTTCCTACAACTTTCATGTTTTTGAGTGGCTCCAATTTTGACGTTATCAATGATGTTTTAGGCAGACAAGAGAAGATAAGGATTGTCACCAAGTCAAGAGTTGGCCACCCACTCATCAATTAGTCATCAAATCAATAGTTCCTAATTTTGGCTTATAAAAGGAGGCATTTCCATGCATTTAGGCATCTTGGTCTCCAGATCAAGATCATGCTCTTGCTTTCTCTCTTTGTATTTTTTGTAATGTTTATGCTTTGCTTTCATTAATATCAAGTTTATGCCTTTCATTTCCTTTCCTTTACTTAGTTAACTTTTATGTTCTTATTTTGTTTATCTATTTTGCTTTCTTTCATTATGTCTAGCTAAGTTAGTTATGTCAAGGTGAAAAGGTTACACTAATGGTGTAAGAATAAGTATAATGTAAACTTAATATGGACTTTAATGTTTGATACTAACATGTTTTGTATTTGTTATCTTGTTCACTCTTTAATACTTTGCTTGTTAAATGACTAATCTAGATTTATGTTGTATAACACT